TGACTTGGGACAAGGCGCCCTTGTAGTCCTAGAAGTAACTCACAGAAATTAAGTTATTGAAAAGTTGTCTTTTCAATAACTTGTCTAAAGGAACAGAAGTCACAGTTTTGAAGCAGGAATATTGCTGCCCAGAGCTCTGTTGTCCCATTTCCTCCTGTGCCCTCCATTTCAGCCTGCCCAGCAGCTTTGCTCTTTGCTACAGCCTCCCGCCGTACTGGAAAACCAGGGGCAAGATGCACATTGCTTTGTGAGCAATAGGGAGAGAAAGCTGCAGGGAAGGTGGGGTAATTTCTTGACCCCAGGTCCTTAGAACAGAACAGACCATTCAGCGAAGCACAAGCTAGCTTAAAAACAAACCAGTGAGCGTGCCAGCGTCAGAGGCTGCAGGTTCGTACGTCCACCCAGCTTTAGTGGTGATGAGGCAGTGGCACAGAGCCCACCGAGTTGCACAAAACACTGCCCGGGTGCCGGCAGCACCCAGGAGGCTCAGCGTTCTCCAGTACTCTATGGAAGCTGCAGAGCCATGGAGCATTACAAAAAGCACTCCACACTTTTGAGACTTGATTAACACAAAATTTCCTGCTATCTCTGTGAACTCTGGACAGATTTGAGCAGCAAAGTCCGTTTTCTTTCTTTCCTTTTTTTTTCCTTTTTAAAATCCTGTATATTTAAAAGCATTCCAGGATTCAAAGGAAATTAGAAAGAGGGACACCATCAATAGCTGCCCTCATGGCATACAGAGGAAGGTAATTTGTAATCAAAAGCTTTGGTTTAAAGAAAACCAAGAGGCATTAAACCCACACTAGAGTCAAGTCAGACTCCAAAACACACAGTTTCTACCACCTGGCCAGCAGTCAGAAGGAGAGGACACAAAGCTCACCTTTGGCAGTTGTGGTGTGACCTCTGTTGGAACACCCCTGTCAAAATTCCCAGTAACTAGCATGGCCAGATGGATGCCGCAGCTGGTCCAGCTGTGGGAAGGTTTGTCCGAGGCCGTCACCAGCTAACCTGGCTCCACGTGCTGGTTAGCGCAACTCAAAGCCCAGATGAGCCTGGGGGCACCCCTGGAGACAGCCAGGAGGCCAGGTATCTGGCTAAACCTACACAGTACGTATCTCGAAGAGGCAAAGCATACATATGCATAGTATGCAGGGGCTCCTGGGAATGCTGGCTTGACTGTAAATTAGCGTTAGCCTAATTTCTCACAAACATTAATGCTGCCTTGAATGACAACAGAAAACATTCCTGTTTGATCCCATTCCCTATAATATATGTATGCTATTACTCATAGCGGGGTAGTGAAGACAAGGTTTTATTATGACTAATTTTATGGATCATGTTTTATCTAGTACCAATACCTACTAACTGAACACATAACACACACAAGTCCAAAAGCATAACCTTTAAACAAGATGTTTGCCATGGAATGGAGCAGACACCAGAAATTCTGCAGGGTTTGAAAACAGGACGGTTTGAAGCAGTGACAGACCCAGTTGTCTGGAGCCAACAGTTCATTACCGTAGCATGACAGCAAAGAAATGGCTCAATAAAATTCTCTTTTGAGGTGTTTTCTCACTCCCTAGCCTTGCAAAGCTCCCTTAGACTGCCACAGGAGCTTCACCCCAGTAAGGGAATGACTCCCATACATGTACATCTCGTGCTTTGCCAACATACAGTTATCAGCTTTCACGTGGGTTTTGCTTAGAAGACACCTGCTTCTAAATAGAAGAGCTGTTGGAAATGTGCAAGCCATATTAAAACTCAGACATTATGCAGTTGACCATTCAAAAACTAGCGAGAGAACCACCACTGGCAGAAAACCCCAATTTCAGAAAAATGAAGCTTTGTCGTCGTTGTTGTATCAGGTACCAATGTGTTGCATTTGTGTATTTTGGACTTGCACAAGTAATCTGTTAAAATAGAGCACTTAGTCATTGTTTTGAAATATGACCTAACTGACTGCTAAAGGAAAGGCTGGTTTAGCTTTGTAGCCGTGTTCTACTTGTGTACATATTTTGGTTTGTCTAGACCTGAATAAACTAAAATAACTAGATTCTTGGTGTCTGTTTGGTGCGCTGGATCAAACCAGACCAGGAACGCTATTTCAGTGACACCTCAGCTCCCATCCCACCTCGTGTCACACCTCTCTGAAGAGCAGCAGTCCTGTGTCATTGCTGCCAGAGCTATCGGCAGTTTGAGCACTCCTAGCACCGCTTCACTCCCAGCCACGTTGCAGAAGAACGCCAGCCACGCACTCATTTCTCACCAGATGTGTGCCACATGCCAGGGACTAACTAAAGGAGCCAGGACCCCAAGCCGTGGGCCCCAGCTGTGGTCCAAGGGATCGACTGCAAGCCACTGGCTCCGATGGGGACCCCAACAGCGAGGCACGGTTCAGGGCTAATTCCTAGGAAGAGTGTCACGCAGAGCCCTGGGTTGCGATGCCCTGCGTGTCTGTCACTGCACCAGATGTTGGGGACCACACCGAGGTTACACATGAGAACTTAAGAGTTGTTTCACAAGCACCATATACATTTGGACTTCCAGCTCCCAGGAGGGCTGGCTGGGAGCTGTTGGAGCCCATTAATCAGCACAGCTGCCCCACAGCCACTAAGGGAAGAGCCTCTGATGCATCAGAAGCTGTAAATACTGCAGATGAAAAACCAGTTCGGATGATTCATTAGTGAAGTTTTATCTGCTCAAAGATCAGAAGTGGGGTTTTCCAGCAATTAAAGAAAGTTTGCCCACAATAACCCCCTAGGACTTGCCCCTGGCTAGAAGACACACTTACTCCAGCAGTACAAAGTTACCCCGAGTTTGTGCAAGACGTAGCCCAGCGTCGCTATCTCCGTTGGCAGAAGAGCTGCTTGCTGCGGTGTGCCCCCCGTGGCTTTCCGGCCGCAGCATCAGCTTGTGCCCCCCACCCAGGATGGGGCCCCCCCACCCAGGATCAGGGCCCCCGCTGCGGGTGCCAGGCGGCAGCAGCCAGTGAAGCAGGCAACAGGCAAGATGGAAGACTGAATTAACAGCATCTAAGTTCTTTCATCTCCAAATCCCTACAAACCTGAACAAAAACATTCCTGATAATTCCCTATAAAGCTAAACAGAAGTATGTCTGTTCATCACGCCTGTCCCCAGATGACAACGGAAACGGGGCTTTCTGATCAACACCCTTCTTTTTCTACAAGCAACTTACTTTTTTTAAACTTAAAAGCGAGAAGGTACTAGAAAAACACTTTTAAGATGAACGCCGAGTCTGGCTTCTCTGCACAACACAGGCCAAGGCATTTTATCTAGTGAATCAGCGTCGGGTTCAGTAACCTGCTCTCGAACCAGCTCTTCAAAAAAAAAAAAAGGAAGGAAGGAAAAAAAGGCAATCCTAATAATATTCAGTGTTGGTCCAGACCCACAAGACTAGAAAAAAAATGGGTTTAATCCAATGTTTGCCACCGACTACTTTGTGATTAAGCAAAGACGAGGAATTGAAGCAAGAGAATGATGGAAACGAAAGTTTTCAAAAATTATGTTTAGTAGAATTCTTATGGCTCTTAAGAACAGATAATTAGAGAGGCTACAAATGCAAAGCACTAATGTGTACCGGGAACACTGAATCTGCTTTCTGAGGAATGGCCGTAGATGTTTCTTCAATACCTCACAAATAAAGACCACGGCCAGAACAGTCCAACTTTTTTCTCCCAAAGAAAACGTGCAACAAATTTTCCCGATGCCCTTTGGGAGCCATGGGACTTGCAGTCGTTACTGAAATCCCCATGGCCCCGAATAGGCGCCTGCACCCAAGGAAAGGGGAATAAACCCTTGGGTGAGGCAGCCCAAAAAGCTGCAGAAGGGGAGAGCGGGGAGGGTTTGGGTCGGGAATTCCTCCACAGGGCAGCACAGCCCTTCCCCAACATCTCCACGCTGGAAATGGCCAAAGTAGCCACAGATACACGACGATCGTTACAAGGAGCCGGTACATAACTCAGCTGCTTTCTAGTAAAAAAAAAAAAAAAATTAAATAAATAATAATTAAAAAAAAAAAAAATTCTCGGGACTGCCCCCAAACCCTGCTCTCCTCCATCTTTCTCCTTCCATGCCCCAGCTCCTTCCCCAGGCAAAAATCAAAGCCCCCGGCGGCAGAGGGCTAGCGAACCCCGACCGCGAGTTTCTTGCCGAAGGCTCCATCCACGCCAGCCCTTTTCCCCCAGGATTTGGGAACGCTCCCCGCCCGCTAATACAGAAATAAACACAACCTGGGCTTCAAAGTTTTAGGCGAGGAGGTTTGCGTGCGAAAAAGTCGGGCTGACCCGCCGGCTCGGGGAAGGCTGGATACCACCCGGAAAGCTTTCAACGCGGGTGGGGGGACGTGTCCGTCCCCCGTGGAGGGGCTCGGGGGGGGGGCTTAACCCACGCGGGTTTTCCGTGAGCCGAAACC